GAGAACAATATTTTAGTAAGATTAGTTTAGTATAATTATATCCAATGGATTTGAGTGAGAAAAAAATAATAATAACAAAATACAACACTAGAGGCCCAATGGGCCAGAGAACCCCAGGACTGGGCAGCAGCGAGTTCTCCCAGACCCCTCCCCGGAAAGACCCAGTTTACAGGTTCACATTGTCTTTTGTGTGCCTCCACCATTCCACCCCCAATCCTTCCTTTCAACCAGAAACACTTACAAACCCCGGCAACCAGTTGCCAAGGGGGAGGGGTGTCTGCTTCACAGATTTGGCTGTTCACCATGGGTGAGTTGAGAGGAAGCAAGGCTGGCCAGGTAGCGAGGTCCTTGTTCTGGGCCAGGCGAAGTAGGGATGGGTGGGAGGGGGTTACTGACAGATGGGGTCTAGGCCGGAGCTAGGAGTCAGAGCTGAGACCCACTCTCCCCATGCCCCGCCCCATCCCCTCTTTGGCTCTGCTTCACCAGGAGGCCTCGCATATACCTGCTTTGACCACCAGGGTCTACGGCAGGTGCCGGGCCTGTCCGAGCAAACCTCACGTGCGGACTCAGCATCCGGAGTGTTTCTGCATCTGCCCGCTCACAGTTGGGCCCAGGCAGCGTCTCCCCAAGATGCCAGAGAGACCTTGGCAAGGCAGGGGAGGTGAAAAGTATGGAGTTAAAAAGTAACAACTATGCTAGTTCAGGTTGTAAGGGGAAGGGAAGAAAACTAAGGTATCTGTAGTGGGCATGGGAAGGAAGCAGGCTAGGCCATGCAAAGAATCACTAGGACTTGCTGACTGAATTAGAGGTGAGAATTGTGGGAACAGTGCACCCAAAGGCACCTCTCATATTCCATTGTCTGGGAGAAAGCTAGTGCTGTCTGCATTCACATACCAAATAGTTCATGCTTATTTCAGTTTCGAATGTGCTGCGTTTGATATTGTAGTAAGATACTGTAGATGAGGTTGGGACTTACATCATCTAAGTGGGATAGAGTGATCCCATAGGGCTTAGAATTACAGTTCAACTTATATCAGTCAAATAAGTCTACAAACCCGTGTCATCTGCCTTCTATAAGAGTACATGATGTCTCTGAGCAAAGGTATATAATAACAGAAGAGCAGAGAATTGAGGGCTTACCTTAGAGCTTTGGATACTTCTCAGTTCGATGACAGAAAAGGGAGCGAACCAGCGAGAAAGAATGCCGGGGAGGAGTCAGAAGACGTGGAGAACTAAGATCATGTAGACCGATGAGGACCAACAGAGGAGGAGGAGACGCCAACAAAGACATTAAAGAGAACGCAGACCGCAAGGTGCTGAGGGTCTCTGTAGTGCATGTGGTTGGTAGGTGAGAACTCATAGGGACCGATGTACAACAGAAGGAAACGCTGCCCGCCCTGGGCAGCCTCACAGTCACCGCTGCAGTTGAGCCACTGTGCCCATGGATTTCACTGAGTGTGTGTCTCTTTGTTGCCGACCCTATACTTTACCAAGCGTGATGTCCTTCCCTAGGGACTGGCCCTGCCTGATAACACGTCCAAAATACGTGAGACTTCAGTTGTCAAACGGCTCCAACCTCATACTTTCTACGACTCGAACAGCAAAGTTTGGGGGAAATTCTGCTTGGTGTTCATAACTTTGCTGACACCGGACGATCCGACTTGAAAAAGCCTGCACTGGCAGAGAGGGAGTCACGTGTCGTGTCTCGCCAAGGACACCAAGGGGTGACACTTCAGTCTAAGTGCTTCTCTCGCTCAGACAACATATAGTGCTTGTTAAAACATTCGTCGTTGTGCTTTGTTTTTGTGCGCTTTATTTGCATAAAATATTGGAACGATGGTTCCAGAGGAAGTTAGTGACACTAGCACTAAAGCTAAGAGGAAACCGTGAGAGCCATGATCGAGTTAAGGAAAGAAGTCATGGGAAATTTGAGTCAGGTCGCCGCTTGATTTGCGGGCTGAACACAATGTGGCAGTCGGCATTATCACCATTTTGGGGGTCGTGAAAGGTGTGAAATCATTAGAACTCAGGCCACCGAAGAGGTTGAAATGTTACTGTTAATTTGAATAAATCAGAAGAAATTCAATAGCAATAGCGTATCTGAGACAGTGATATTTGAGAAGGCTAAAAGGCTCCCTAGTGAATTTATAAGTATAAAGTTTGGACCTCAGAACCAATTATTTGGTTTTCCACGATTTGTTCTGGGAAAACATGCTCAGTTCGCAAACTTTTCAGCGTTCAAACACGCATTTGGAACAATGGAGTTTGACAAGCAAGGTATCGCTGCCCCTGGCACACTTGGAAACCTTGCTGTTCGTTCTCTCTTCTGAGCAACGTGCTGGTTACGCTTCTCTCAAGACAGATTTGTTTGTTCTTCTGGCATCTTTAATAGTGTACTTAAGATTCTTTGCCAATATCATCATTCAAAGGCATCACTTCTGTGGTCTTCCCTGCTCATTGTCCAGTGCTCGCATTCATACGAGTGATTGATAATATCTGGCACATTCACCCATTGCCATCGAGATAATTTCCGTTCCTAGTGACTTTATGCGGATGATGTAGCAGATTTTATTCAGGTAAGACTCCATCGTACTTTTCAAAACACTGACCTGAAGTGAAAAGACTAGAAACTTAACCTTCCTGTTGACCACTGTCATAGATTGAATTGTGTCCCCCCAAAATACATTCATTCTCTTCAAGTGGTGAGCTCACTGTTTAAAAATGGACACATAATGAAAATTGTTTTCTTTAGTTCAAGTCAAAAATATTTATTGGCTGACATAGATGCTTTCCCCCTTATCTTTCCCAAATTGAACAAGCATTTACAAAAATCGGATTTATTAGATAGTTTCCTTGAACGATAAAAGAGATAAACAAGATTGAGGCTAAGCTTGATTCATAGAAATAGACAAAAAGAAACTATTATTATGTTTCTGACCTACATTTTAGTCTATAGAGTAACATTAGCCAGGAGTTACTTCATTGTCTTAAGGAATTTCTCAACCCATTGAACTAAACCCTGCCTGGTGGTATCATATCCTACCAAGGGGATAGGATGGTATTTAAAGATTATTGTCTGGTAAAGGGAGGAACCTAAAATTTGGATCATATCTTTTTTTTTTAGTCTCTTTTTTTGTAAAATCATGTTATTGGGAGCTCTTACAGATATTGTAACAATCCACAATTCAGTTAGATCAAGCATAATTGTAGAATTTCTGCCACCATCAGTTTCAAAACATTTTCTTTCTTCTTGAACTCTTTGATATCAGCTTCCCTTTATCCCCTTCTTCCTCCAACCTACCCCCCAGGAACCCTTATTATTATATTACCATATATACTTGAGTATAAGCTGACCTGACTATCACCGAGGCACCTAATTTTACCACAAAACTGCAGAAAAAATGTGCTGAAAAACTTGGCTTATACATGAGTATATACGGTATGTATTACGTATTTGCTGTATCTTACACCATCCAATGTGTCCATTCACCTACAATTTTGTTATTTGTTCCCCTCAAGTGGGGTTGTACAGTCATCATTGCTATCAGTTCCCTCTCCCCTCCACCCCTTCACGTATCCTCAGGGAATCATTACTCCTGTTACTGTTTCTGAAGGGTCTTGAATTTCATGCATCAAATGATCTTAATTATACAAATGAACCTATGAAGGTCTAACAAGATTAATGAGGTAAAACCAAGACCATAATAGTGGAGGGAGGAAATATTAAAGAACTAGAAGATAGTTATGTGTTTCATCAGTGATATGCTGGGTCATATCGTTTTGAAATGATCATTTTATGGACTGAATTGTTTGAAATTATTCTGGCTATAAAGAGATTTTGTTCAGCTAAAGCTCTATTTTACTTTTTTAAAACTGACCCGAAAGGAAGAGACTAATGGAACTTAACTTTCCTGTTGACCACTGTCATAGATTGAATTGCATTCTCCCCAAAGAGTGTGTCAACTTGGCTGGACCATGATTCTCAGGGATTTGGCAGTTATGTTATTATGTAATTTGACAGTCATGTAATGATACTCCATGATGTGAACAGCCAATCTGTTGTAAGGGGTTTGGGGTGGGATACAACACCTTTACTCAGGTCACAGCATTTATCTCCTTTAAGGGGTGTTCCCCCAGGGTGTGGCCTGCATCACCTTCTATCTAATGAGAGTTAAAAGAAAGGAGTCCAACAGAGAGGAAGGGACCTGATTACTACCCAGAAAAACAATCTGGAAATGGATCATATCCTTTGCGCCAAAGGTCCCTGCACTGAGAACCTGCTAGACTAAAGGGAGATTGATGTCAAGACACATGTGGATCTCCAAAGAATGCTGCCCTCAATTCAATTCCTACTCATAGTGATCCTATATGAGTCTGATCTAGCAGTTTTATTCAGCTAAGTCCATTTTACTTTTAAAAACCGACCTAAAGTGAAAAGAAATGGAACTTAACTTTCTGTTGACCACTGTCATGGATTGAATTGTGTTCCCTCCAAATATATTCATTGTCTTCAAGGGCCTTCCCCCAGGGCTTCTAGAGGCAACAGAGAGAAGAGAAAGCCTTCCCCTCGAGCCTGCACCCTGTGTTGAGCTTCCTAGCCTCTAAACTGTGAGGGTATAAAGCTGTTTGTTAAAGCCCTCCATTTGTGATCTGTCTGTCAGAGCCGCACCAGATAACTAAACAGCACTTGCAAAGAAAGTTAAACTACTACTATCTGACTCTGTGCAAGGAGCATAAATCTTGTTTTTCTAAGGTATTTGGTTTTTTAAATATTCACCGGTTTCACCTCTAACTTTTAGCTATTTATAGCTTAGCTGCAATGAGTGTGATCTTTTCACTTCTTCAAATGTTACAGAACTCAGCTCTCCTTGTGCCCTGGAGCTCTGTCTTGCATGAGTCAGTCCCAGAAGAAGATAGAAAGGCTGAAGTGGAATGTTGGGAAATAGCTTCCTACTTAACTTCCTCAGGGACATTTAACTATTCTTGAACTTTTATTACAGAAGCTGAAAAAGCAATCTACCAAGTACAAGACAGACAAGATCTATCCCACAACTGTGGCCGAGAGGCCCAAGAATATCAAGAAAAACAGATACAAAGATATCTTGCCCTGTAAGTTTTTATTTTTCACTGTAAACATGTACCTTCTCCCAAATTCAATCACTCCTGCCCTCTTTTTTTTTTTCTTTTCTTTTTTTACCCGTTGCTATTCATTATCCTGGAACATGGCATTGACATACTAGTTGTATTCTTTCTGACAGCCAAAGGGTATCCATTCATTAATTCCCTCATGCATTCATCATTTCTGAGCATCCACTATTGTGTGTTAGGCCTCAACTTCCAGTAGACCCTCTGGCTAAGACTTCTTAAGGACCCGGTGTCTTCCTTTTACATTACAGATGACCACAGTCTGGTAGAACTGTCCCTGATGACCTGTGAGGAGGACTCCCGCTACATCAATGCCAACTTCATTAAGGTACATTGAAAGGAAACAACAGCAATTCCTATTTCCCTGGGTCCCTAAGAATTAGGGGAAAGCAGGAGGCCAGAGTAAGAAGATAATTATTTGTAGTTAACTACCCAATGTAATTTCTTCTCTTCTTTAGGGAGTGTATGGGCCCAAAGCTTATATTGCTACCCAGGGTCCTTTGGCTACAACTCTGCTGGACTTTTGGAGGATGATTTGGGAACACAATGTTCTGGTAAGCATAGTTGTTTGTCTTTCACGTTAAGAAGTGGACAGGGAAAGGAATTAGGGGCCGTGACTGCGGTGCTTTGTCCAATTAAACCGATATTTTTGTGTGAGCGTGCCTGCGTGCATGTGTGTGTGTTGGGGTTGGCTGATGGCACATCAGTGGTCAGTCACCTTTTAGTCAAAATGACAATGTCACTTTTGTTTGAGGAAATGAAAGTTCTCACTCTGACAGGCTCATTTGTTAACAAGAAGTTAATTCACTGACTTGAATAGAGAAGAGAAAAGTGGGAACAGAAAGAAGGAAGAGTAGGAGAAAAATCATATAATGTATCATTATTTCATTTTTTGGTTAGAAACAAACCAAACCAAACCACACAGAAAAAAATGAGTAGCACGTTTGGGGCCTAGGACCCATGCCTAAGTATAATAGACATTTCTGTTTCTATCTGCTTTATCTCCCAGGTCATAGTCATGGCTTGCATGGAGTTTGAAATGGGGAAGGTGAGTTACTTTCTAATACCTGTCTACCACTGGTATAGGGGAAGAAGAAAGAGGCAGCACAAAACAAGTAGCAGACTTTTCCTTAAGGTGCCTCAGTAAACATCACATTCATGGTCCTCATTTTCATTTAGGGTGGACCATGTGACTCCCAGGGGTGTGTGTGTGTTTAATCACACAAACCCTTTTTGGTCACTCTGCTCTAGTAGACTCTGTGTTTTACAAACAAGACATGCTTTTCAAAAGATGTTCCTTTTAAAATTATTCAGTCAGATTTGCTAACTCTGTGCGGTTCGACAGGGAATCCACTAGCCACTAGTGGATCCCTAGTGGCTTTAAAACTTTTTATTGTGAATCAAGTAAGGCTCACAAAGCAGGTCATAGTTTTACATCCAACATTTCATACAGATTGTGATTCAACTCATCCATTGCAATCCTCTCAATGTACCATGGAAACACTCGATTCTAGATGCAGTATAAAATAAGTTTCATGTGGGAAAAAAGATAATAAGTTTCATGTGATTACATGTTTAAAATTTGGGGGCCCATTGGATTGAGATATTATTATAATTCAGTTCTCTTTTTTGTTGTGTTTTAATGGGACTATCAGGAAATTCCAAATTACATGTGTGGCTTAATTATATTTCTACTGAACGGCACGATTCTAACCTACATAACATAACGCATGCCTTTCCGAGTTGATACCATTCCAGTCTGAACCAAGAAAACCTGGTGCTTCAATTAGCTTGTACAATTTAGTTTTGGTACATATGATTTCTATCAGTCTTTTTAAAGTATGAAAGATAAGTCAGAGATCCTTATATTTGCCTTTACAGACTTCTAGGAAGTCTGGATTATACACCTATCTTCATGCCTGTCTTTCCATCCTTGGGGATTTCCAGACCATGATGTTGGGGTTGAGTCTTGAGGAAGTAAAGAGTTCCTAACCCAAGATGAAGGACACAGAACTGGATTTGCTTCTGTGTACGCTTTATTGATCTAAAAGAGTCTAGAATGGAGGGAAATCACTACATTCTGCTTTGTGCAACAGAAAAAGTGTGAGCGCTACTGGACTGAGCCAAGACAGCCGCACCTGGAAGTTGGCCCTTTCTCCATATCCTGCGTGAGTATGGCACCCCTCCCCACCGTGGTTGCTTCTATTGTTATAGGAGCCATTCATGCAGTCAGTTCCTCCCCAGATGGACCCTAGATAAACAGAACAGAGCACCTCTCATTTCTGCACCATCTCCTCCATTGGTCTTATGTTTGGGCCCCTGGCAGCCAGGGTGTCGGTCCATCTTGCTGAGGGCCTTCCTGTTTCCCTGCCCTTCTCACCCTGCATGTTGTCTTTCTCCAGAGACTGGCCTTTCCTGACATGTCCACAGAACACGAGATGAAGTCTTGCTATCCTAGTCTCTAAAGAGTAGCTTTTCCAAGACAGATCTGTTTGCTCTTTTGACGGTCCATGCTCTTTTGACTGTGCAATATTCCTCACCCAGCACCATAGTTCACATGCATTGATTTTCCTTCCGCCTCTTTTATTTAACGTCTAACTTTCACATGTAAATGAGACGACTGAAAATACCATGGCTTGGGTGAGGCGCACCTTAGTCTTCAAAGTAACATCCTTGCTTTTCAACACTTGAAAGTGGTCTTGGGCAGCAGACTTACATTGTATTGGGTACATCTGGCCCACAAGACCTGTCCCGTTATGGCTGAGCAAAGTTCTAGAATCTATTTTATAGAGAGCTTGCTTTTAGAAGGCACTAATATCTTCATCTTTCCCTTCTCAGGAAGCTGAAAAACGAAAGTCTGATTATGTCATCAGGACTCTAAAAGCTAAGTTCAATGGTGTAAGTATAGAACAGAGGGCGGGGTGGTAAAACTCAAATACCTACACGGATGTGCCATGTGCGGGATCTAAATTGGTATAAGGCGATGGAGAGTAGTGGCAGCTTTAATATTGTCGACAGGGAGAGAACTTCACAGTTAAAGAAGACCTGGGGCATAGAACTGTTGTCCCCAGCCTTGTCCACACCATGGCACACATTTTGAAGAATAATATTTGTAGGGTAAATAGAAGCTATCCAGTGAGCAAAGGCTGAAGACCAACTTCTCACGCAGGCTTCTAGGTCTTGTCCAGCCTCTCCAAGGGCTTCGTCCCACCAGCCTGCCTGTGACCCCTTGAGGCACACCAGACGGGAAGTTCTGGTTTGAACTGTTCTCACATTGACCTCCTTTCGTGAGTAGGAAGGAACCCCAGTGGTGCCGCGGTTGAGCATTCAGCTGCTGGGAGGTTGAATGCCATTCAAACCCACCAGCCTCTCCACAGGAGAAAGATGTGGCAGCCTGCTTTCATGAAGATTTCCGCCTTAAAAAAAAATGCATCCTTGGGAATCCTACAGGGGCTGTTCTACTCCATCCCAAAGGGCCACTGACTCAGAATCAGACTTGACAGCATGGGTTTGATGTTGGAGATTGGGGTTTTGTGAAAAGGACAGAGGGGGACCTGGTTTGAATCAGTGACTAAAACAACCTCCAGTTGTTCTCAGGAGGGACCTGGTCACCTGAGGGCTACAGAATTAATGAAGGGCAAATTTCTGACAGATAGATAGATGATAGATAGATAGATAGGTAGATAGGTAGATGATAGATAGATAGATAGATAGATAGATAGATAGATAGATAGATAGATAGATAGATAGACAGACTACTTGTTAAGTCAGATTAATCTTGTGGTGGAATGAGATGGAGTCCTTGCCTTGAACTCATCTTCTCTTCTGGCTATCTTTCATAGGAAACTCGAACCATCTACCAGTTTCATTACAAGAACTGGCCAGATCATGATGTGCCTTCATCTGTAGACCCCATTCTTGAGCTCATCTGCGATGTTCGATGTTACCAAGCAGATGATCGGGTTCCAGTATGCATTCACTGCAGGTGCGAGCCTATATGTATGGACCTTCTACTCCAAACAAAGGAAACGTTCATCTGGCTAAGACTCCTGATGAAACTGAAGGAAGACTCACTGGGTTGGAATTGAAGGTGGTGCGAGAACATAGGATGTGGGCTCCTCATCCCAGCCCCACAACTATCTGCAACGAATGAAGCTTAGAAATGAGGTTAAAGGGAGGGGTCGGTAGGAGAGCCAAAGTATATTCAATGAGATGAGAGGTTTCAAATATGGCTTTTGGAACTATCGGTCAGCTTCCCGTATTTCATGAAAACCTTTGCTCTCGCTCTTGTACCTAGCGTGAAATACATGCCTCTCTGATTAATTACTTGTGCACAGAACTGAATAAATGCTAGAGATTCTTGTTGGAAGATGCTGCCTCGGTTCTGGCCTGAGGCTCACTGAGGCATGAGCTAATTGACAAACATGCTCTGGGAAAGCATAAGAGTTGGGAAAAATTCCCTTGGCTCCAGGCTTTCTCTCTTCAAATAGGCCAGTAGAACCTTCCAATTTTGTTATCAAAGATCCCCCGTCTGCAACTAGCAATGCTATTGTGATCTTACGTTTCAGCGCCGGCTGTGGAAGAACTGGCGTGATTTGTGCTATTGACTACACGTGGATGTTGCTGAAGGATGAGGTGAGCTCCTCCCAGCAGCTGTTTCCCATTTGCTCGCCCTGTTGTTTCACACAGAGGAAGTACAGATCCTCGAGATCTCTATCCCCATTATTCACCTTCTAGACTTCACTCAGACCCACTGTGTCAGTCAGATGTTTCCATTAGCGCCTAAGTCACTGGCTTCTCAGTGTGGTGCCCCGTTAAGCAGTATCAGTACTTTTGGAGAACTTGCTAGAAATGCAAACTCTCGGGCCCAACCCTGCCTGAGTGAATCAGAAGCTCTGGCGGGAGGCCCCCAGCTAGTCCCAGGGGGCGTTTCTGATGCACACTACATCGGAGAAACTGCCCTGAAAGAATATTGCTGCCCTTCCTAATCCAAACTGCTATAGGAGATGGATGCCATTTGTTGCCATCGAATTGCATGTTCCAATCTAGACATCATTGTTAAAAGTCTGGTCGGGGACGAGAGGGTCATGGCTTCTGGAGCGATCAGCTTCATCAAACCTTCACTCTCACTCTCGCAGTCTTCTCTCCGATGACAACTTAAGTCCAGGCACTGGAGCCCCAGGGGAATGAAAACCATTGGCTTCCGAGCGAAGCCCCTCAGAGGCTTTTCGGAGCACTTTCCTAGGGAAATCACGAGGCTATAAAGCGCGGTGTAAGTCGCGGAAAAACCTCTATCGTTTTCAAAATGCATCCTGACTGCTGCCATGCCACACTCGGAGAGCAGGTGTCTTACAAGAACAAGACTATAAAAAGGTGAAAATAATCTATGAACAAAGACAGGACGAAAGGAATAAGACTTCTCGCCCTCTTTTATTTGGCAGATAATGCCAGCGAACTTCAATGTTTTCAGCTTGGTCCAGGAAATGCGAACCCAGAGGCCATCATTTGTGCAGACTCAGGTATGGGCTAGCACGATTGTCCGAGTCTTGCTCCAGCTCTGTGTTTAAGGGGAAGGTTATCCAAAGCCACTGGCTCCTGAGCTATGGGACCAATTTACTCCAAAGTACCGTCGTCCGGGCCCATTTCCTCCACGTATCGCAGTCTTCCCCTTCGATTCCCTGACCCAAGTCCAGCTCCTTCCCTTCGTTAGAGTTAGGACATAGTCAAAACCTAATGCTTCTTGATTAGAAACGATGGTGAAGGAAATGCAACGCGCTGTTTGACTTACTAGAAATAGCACCTGAGTTGGGTTACCTGGGAATTGTGCCACAGGAAGTCCATCTCTGAGCTCCTAGGAAACCAGAGACCTGCAGCGCCTACTTCAGGAGGTGGTGAGAGAGTCTGGCGGATGCAGTCTGAGTGCTTATTTTAGGAAACACTGAAAACACACCAACACAAACAAGCAATATGCCATAGAGCCAATTCTAACTCATGGAGACCCTAGAGGGCAGAGTTGAACGGCCCCTCTGGGTTTCGGAGACGGTAACTCTTCACTGCAGTAGAAAGCCTCGTTCTTTCCGGGGACCGGCTGGCAGTTTCAGACTGTTGACCTCATGGTGAGCGGCCCAATGTAGAACCACTAAGCCCCCCGGGCCCTGAAATACTGAACAGTAAAAATAAAACCAGCCAGACTCTTATCACTTAGAGATCCTGTGACTATTCTTCTAGTGTCTCTTGGTGCTTGTTGGAATGCATAAATTTTCAAAAGCATAATTATAGCCACACACACTATATGTAGAAAGTTCTGTCCAGTTCACAAACTTCTCATTAAGAGCAGATTGCTGGCGCCCATTCCCACTATTACACATGCTCTTTCCCCTCAGCTCATGAAATCCAGCTCAAGTGTGGCCGCATATGTGAAACATTCCCAGCACGAAGATCTCACTGCCTGCACGATTCATCTCACCCACGTGTCACCCCTACTTCTGAGTGGTCTCCCCCTTCAAAGTGGGATTTCACATTCATCCATCATCTATTCAGTCATCAAACATTTGCTGAAGTCTTACTATGATTCAGGCACTTTTGCGGAGCTTGTTGGACCTTTTTAAAAAAAAACCAAAAAAAAACTGTTTAAATAGACCTGAGGTGTTTAAAATGCTTAGAAATGAACTCGCACAGAGCTTGAGAGATGAAACAATTGACAGTGGAAGTTCAAGTATTTTAATTTAGATGTTGTAAATTCAGGGGGAAAAAATGAGGAGCTGTTATAAGGTGAATCTATCTGTTTGGCCCACACAGGTTTTCCACTAATAGCTAGTGGAAAAAAATAAAGGTTTTTTTCATGTGTTGACTGTAGGTGTTTTCTATATTCCACCTGTGAGGGGGAAAGTTTATGTGAAATAAAAGCATCGATAGGGTAGTGCTGTGAGCCTTGAAAGAAGGCTGGTCCATGTAAATGGATAAAGACTCCAGGAGGTATGCAACCTACTGTAAAATATGAAATTGTGATTTTAAATTACTAAATAAATCCAGACCCCATTGCAGAAAACTATATCAGGCCAACTTCTAAGAAGTGGGAGCGAGCTGAGGCTGCTGACAATTTGCTTCCAGGCTTTGGCGAGATCAAACACCAGCTGAACGAATATCTTCACGTTTGTAGGCCCTTTTTCTGGTACTATTCTAGCCAGGAAATGGCACTGTAACCAGCTGAGTACTTCCTGTCTGACTTTTCTCTCCTTGAGAAAAAACAAACAAACCAAGAGTGCACCGATGGCTGCGTTGAGTGATAGCAACTCTGCGTTGTTCTCTTGCTCACGTTATATTTGGAATAAGCTGTACTTTATTTGTACAAGATTGTGCAAAGTGTCAAGGAGAACTCTGAATAGACCGGACCCAGATATAAAGCAGATCCCAAAATCAAGGACTTGAACGAGCTCAGAGGCAAACAATGGAGCAGTAAAATCCATAATAGTGAATATTAGTGAATATTCATAATAGTGAATATTATGATCATAGAACTCTCACTTCTCTACAGCCCAAATCCTTTCATAACCACCAAGATCCAAATCCCATTCAGAGGTCTAGTGTCCTGTACTGGTGGGACAAAACCTCAGCAGCTTGGTCCAAGACATTAAAGTAAGAGTCAGGAGATCCTGGTTCTAATATAGGACCTTGATTTTGCTTCTAAATAAACTTGGAACATTTGATTACAAACAGGGCTAACAGACCAACTACTTCACAGAGCAATTGTGAGGGTGAAATCGAATGATAGATATTGAGGCTGTTCATTCGACACCATCCACAATCTGTCTACCTCTTTTTACAAAAGTGATTTATAAAAAAAATTACAAGGTGAAATACACAGTGAACCAGGAAAAATGTGAAGCAGGAAAATTGAATAGTGAAGACAGAGGCAAAGATGTTGGGAAGTAGGGTCAGAAAAGGAAAACCAGGCCCTAAGACCCTGTACACGAGCTAGAGGCAGATCAATTATTTGACTGGTTGCTATCAACTAAAGCGAACTTTAAAATATATAGAAGCACCACTTCTCACTACTTGTCCTGGAGTCAAGGCTGACTCACGGCAACTCCATGGGTATCTGACAATTTGGGGCTTTTTTAATCATTTTATTGGAGGCTCATACAACTCTTATCACAATCCATACTTACATCAATTGTGCAAAGCACATTTGTACATTCATTGCCCTCATCATTCTCAAAACATTTGCTTTCTACTTGAGCCCCTGGCATCAGCTCCTCATTTTTCCCCTCCCTTCTTGCTCCCCCCTCCCTCATGAACCCTTGATAATTTATAAATTATTATTTTGTCATATCTTACACTGTCTCACGTCTCCCTTCATCCACTTTTCTGTTGTCCGTGCCCCAGGAAGGAGGTTATATGTAGATCTCTGTAATCGGTTCCCCCTTTCCACCCAGCACACCTTCCGCCCTCCTGGTATTGCCGCTCTGAGGGGTTTTGATGATTGCTTTTTTGGAAGTAGATCACCAGGTCTTTCTTCTGAGGTACTTGAGGGTAGACTCCAACCTCCAGCCTTTCGGTTAGCAGCCAAGTACATTAACTGTTTGCATTACTCTGGGCTTCCATATAAACATACGACCCTGATATTTATACAAATGTTGGTGCTCCTTTCTGGTCTACTATAGTAGGTGTCTAATTTCTGGAATCTGGTTCTGTAACTCACTAAGTTTTGTGTGTATGTGCTTGGTTTCTGGTCCTCTTCAGGAGCAGTATGAGTTGGTCTACAGTGCTGTATTAGAACTGTTCAAGAGACAGGTGGATGTCTGCAGGAATAAACACTCTGGAGCAGAGGTAACATTTAAACTTGACATTTTGTCTCCCCACCCCACCCCATATTTGCTTTATGTCATGGGATCTCAGGTTAATTTTAAGACACAACTTATTATCTATTGTCATGATTAATTTGTAATGTCAAGTGTAATGAGGGTGTGGAGAGGATATATTCACTGAGGACTTAATTTCCCGTGGAGAGGATGAATTCATTGAGATTTTTTTTTTTTTAATTTAGAACATTAATCTCTTAGATAATCTGTTGCATACAATTTCTAACTGAAAGTTGCAATAAAAGTGACTAAGAGGACATGGGTGTGTTCTATCCCTGTGTTTAAAACAATTTTTATTTGATGGACTAGAAGTGAGATTGATCATTATAAAATCAAGTCACAATTGGGCCTCAGTGTGATATTTTTCCCTCTAGGCCACTTTAACCTTACTTTGGTGTCAAATATTTCCTTGAATATTGAGAGTATTTTAGAATATTCAAAGAAATTTTCGCTGAATATTTTAGATATAAAAACAATTATGATTTGGCTAAAATGCCAATGATCTTATTTCCAATTACAGTTGTCATAGAGAGACCACACGCGGGTGGCTTTTCAAAGCAGAAATATACTGTCCGAAGCACAATGCTGGAGACTGGAAGCCTGAGATAGGGCACTGGATTTAGGGACGCCGCCCTTCCTTTGTTGGTGGCCACAGGCATTTCTTGGCATTCCTTGACTCATCCACAGATCCTCGCCTCCTCTCTTCCCTCTCTGTGTATCTTGTCTATGTTCCCCCTTCACACACCATGCAGGAATTAAGTTTAGGGATCACCCTATGCTGCCATGACTGCCCTAATATTTCCAAAGACAAACTCTGTTTCCACACAGGGTTCTTCATGGAAACAGGGGTTACAACGCCAACCTATCTTTTCTGGGGTCACACTTTAATCCGATTCTAAGTTAGGCAGTTTTGATCTCATCACAAAAATGAGTCAGTCCAATACTTACTATAGAATTACAAAATGTTAGTTACTAGACAGACCATCAGAAAACAAAATGACTGATTTACCTTTCAGGGTATGTACAACATATATATATCACTTTTCAAATTAATAATCTAAAAAAAAATCCTAACATCAGAAACACCAAGTGTGCAGTCATAGACCTGATCATAACATCCCTGCCAGTGAATGATGACGCAAGTGAGACCCCAGGGAGACTGAGGAGTACGGAAGAGAAAATAGACAGAAGATCCGTGGGGGTAGGGTGGGGGTGTTAGAGAACTAACTAAGCAACGCGCTAGAGTTAATGTCTCATCCACCCCAGGGAGCAACAACTGTGTGAGGGAACATGGAAATAAGAATAGTGCTGTCGGGAAATGTTCCTCTTCTCCTATTTGTCTCTACCTCATTGGCTGGTACTCCCAGACAGTGTTAAATAATAGAAGCGAAATTGGCATGCTGAATTTCCAGGGAATGATTCTGGTATTTCACTACTAAGCACCGCGTTGACTTTTGACCTAAGATCTTTATTTCTTAATTGTGTGAACAAAAAGTCAATATTCATTGACTTCTATTTATTAAGATATTTTTTTCAGAAATAATGTTGAATTTTATCGATTATGTGTTTTTGTTATCTATGGGATGGTCACAAGGATTCTTCTCCTTTGACCTTTTTTTTTTTAATTTTAAAACTTTTTGTTGATACAACCTACTGTATCTTGATCACCCCAAAAGTGATATAATGTGGAAAAACACAGACATCTGTGATACTTTGGGGAAGGAATTTGAGCAATACCATAGGCAATTTATTCTAGTTTTTAAAATGTTCCAAAATCAAAACTCACTGCCATTGAGTCACTACTGACCCATCGTGACCCCCCATGTGGGTTTCCAAGACTGTAACTGTTTTGTTTTATTTTGTTGTTTTCAACATTTTTATTGACACACAATTTAATATCATACAATTGAATACTTCAATTGTTCAAGCATATAAAAGGGAATTATACAATTAGCACCACATCTATCTTAGACCCTCCCCTCGCACCCTATGGTTAAATCGCCTTCACTCCTTTGACCATTTAACACAGTGAATGTTATCATTGCCTTTGTTATTATCAAATCATCTTTATGTTCTTAGTATAGAGAACAGCAATGTTATCCCTTTAATATACTGCTGGCGTATGTGGCCTAATATTTTATTTAGGTTCTGGGAAGTGTCAACATTCAAATTGAGTACAGTAGAAGTTACTCAAGAGCTGGTGCAAAAGGTTTGTGAAAGGCTATTAACCCAAAGCAGGCCGAAAGACCCGGGGAACAGCCCAGAAAGCCCTATGGACACTCCCACGCTGTAACGCATGAGGTCACCAGGGGTCAGAGTTGGCTCAATGGCACCTACCCACCACCAGCAGCCCCGGTAATGTGGGACATTTGGGGAACCAGTAAATGGGAACAAAGAACATGGAGGGAACCGGTTAAAGCCAGCCTGAGAGGACTGCTTCCTGGACAATGGAGTAGACATACATTTTCTCTCACTAAGTACAAGTGAAGTCTCTCAGGAGTAGCATCAGGCGAGGTCCAGTGAAGAATCAAGACTTTCGCCATCATTCATTGCTACAGAGGCCACTCTCCCGTGGGCCAGTGAGGTGATATGGGGGAGGCTTCCCACTGGATGTCAAAAGAGGTTTAATGAGGAACCTGGTGGAAGTAGAATACAGCTGCCAGCACCCACCCACACAAAGAGGTGGTTCTTTGAGAAGATAGATGAAATTGACAAACCTCTGGCAAGACTGACAAAACAAAAAAGGAAAGATTAAAATCACCAATATAAAGGGATATCACTATAGGGCCTGCAGATATCAAAAGAATAATAAGGAGCTAATATAACAACTGCACACACACGCATTTGACAACCGAGACAAAATGGACTCTATCTTCAAAGCATGCAACTGTCCTAACTCACTCAAAATCAAATCAATCATTTGAGCAGTAAGAAATCTATTGGCCCAGCTGCTGCGCTGGAGAAGGCTACGAAGTCTTTAAGGAAGAATTCATGCTCATTCTACCTCCTCCATAAATCATTATGAAGCTAAAGTTCTAACTCTGAAAACAAGGTTTTTAATTTTGTTTTTACAATCGGTGGTATCTTAGAACCGATGAACCATCTTGTTATCATTCAGGGGCATTAAATAACATATTAAGTGACAATAGCAGCATTGGCTCAACCTGCTGCATGACACTGCTTTAAATTGTTGAAGAGCCAGCATGCCACTTTGAGGACATGATCATTTCAATCACCTCCTATGCATTTGAAAGTCGGACCTCAAATAAGGAAGACCGAAGAATAATCAATGCATTTAAATTATGGTATTGACAAAGAATAGTAAACGTACTATGGACTGCCGAAAGAACCAACAAATCTGTCTTGGAAGAAGTACAGCCGGAATGCTCCTTAGAAGTGAGGATGATAACCCTCACGTACTTTGGACAGGTGATCAGGAGAGATTAGTCCCTGGAGAAGGACATCATGTTTGGTAAAGAAGATTAGAGAAAAAGATGAAGACTTTCAGTGAGATGGAAAGACACCATGGCTGCCACAATGAGCTCACACAGAACCAGACAGTGGGAATAGCACAGGGCCGGACAGTGCTTTGCTGTGTTGCACATCAGGTTGCTATGAGTTGGTACTGACTCATCAGCATCTAACAGCAACAGCGTCATGAGCTGGAATGTGGTGGGCAGCTGTGTGGGAGTGTTTCCTTACGGCAGAGAATGGTTAAGCAAAAATCGAATTCCTTTGAAATCCCAAAACCCAGTTCCATGAATACATTCTGACTCATAGTGACCCTATATAGGGTTTCTGAGACTGTGATTTTTTCCCCCCAAATTGGCTAAAAACAAGGTCCTTTTGGCTCCCTAGTTGAGGGAGCTCATTCACAAGTCCAGGCAGGCGTGGAGTGGTACCTACCGGAGTTTGGAAAGAAGCCCTGAACTCCGCTCTGGAGCCGCTTCTTATAAGAGCTGACCCTGCAAATCATTACAGGAGCTGGCAGCCTCGTCATTATCCCTCAGTGCAGCTGGTGTATTTGAACAGCCCGCCTTTCTGATTGGCAGCTCAACGCTTATCCTGACAGGCCCCAGCGATGCAAAATCTAGAGCAAAAGCATTCTCATCAGAGGAGCAGTGTGTGTAAGACCTTGAATTGGGAACGATTTGGGCATGCTTGAGGAATGACCAGAGGACACGGGTAGCTGGGAGCACAGTGAACCGAGTAAGATAAGGGTCAGGGACCAGACGGCACCGACTAAGTAATGTTAGGGTTCAGATGATGACATTTGTGAAAGTAGAGGGTTCTTGGGACTATATACCCACACCCACACATTTAATATACCTATTAACCCCCCACATTGAAAAGCTCATAATATAAGTCAAATTCCTTTCTGTTTCTGTAACATTATCAATCCTATATTATAATCCCTTTGATCTCAGTATGTGACTCGGCTTTTTGGAAACGGAATGTAATCCTTTCCCCGGTGGTGCAGTGCCTTGAGCCCTGAGCTACAAACCGCAAGGTCGGTGCTTGGAAGCCACCTGATCGCCCACACGGAAAGAAAGATCAGGCGGTCTGCTCCGTTGCCGCCAAGCAGCAGTTGCCCTCAGGGTCCCTCTGCGGGGAAACTGACTGCAGGGCAGTTGGTTTTTTTTCCGATTGTGTAATCCTCTCATGAATTATTTTAAAGTTTTTCGATTGTCTGAAAACTTAATTCTCGGACTTCCCAATAGCATCATAAAAGCAGGTAAGTGAGCAAATAAATGCCCGGGCAGAGGGGTCTCGAGGGTTGGCGTCACCCAGGGCAGTAACTCACGATGTGTTCCCACATTCCAGGTTGGAGCCACCCGCCCTGCTCTGCCCCTTGGGCACGCCAGGGCCAAGGGTTGTGCCCAGCGGCCCAGCCTCTCCCAGGGCACCACTCTAGCTCACCCTCTCCCAAAGGTGAAAGCGGAGACCCCTCCTCTCTACCATAGGGCGACTACCTGTGGCCCGCACCTCCCTCTCACCCCATTGGCAGGCGAGGGGCCACGTGATGAGTTACCTCTCACTTAGGTAATGAGTGAGACCCCATTTCGTTACCCCCGCCCCCGCCCCCTTCGGCAACGATGGCCTGCCAGCCCGGGCCACGACGGACCCAGTGGTCATTTGACGTCACCCCTGTGGCACCATCACTAGTATCAGTTAAAAAAGATCGTATGGTTATTTTTATCCCTTATCCCCACAAATACCTCCTTTGACATTGCTATAAAACCATGAATCTCTCATTCATTTCTCTTGAAGATTCGAGCCAAGGATTCCGTCTCTGAGCCTAATTCCCCTCTAGGAGCAGACCGTTATTCTCGCCAGAGCTTAGCAGAAAGGTGAGTACCTTTTTACACATCATCTAAATATTGTCTACTTGTGCCTGAGAAGTGAATCTCATGCTGGAAGAGGCCTCCTTCGGAGGGGCCTCTCGTCATTCCTCTTTCTGTTTTAGTTCCACAAAAGAAGCCAGGAGGATGAGCCAGCAGAAGCGACCAAAGGTGAAGGTGGGCAAAGCGGGGACTTCCGCCTGCGACTTGAGGACCACGGAACTCAGCGGAAGGGACGGGCTTGTTTTGTCCCCTACCCAACAATCTTCTTTTGACTTTTTGGAGCTAAACTGTGGTTGTAACCAAACTGCAGAGAGAACCATGGTTGGGGAACCTCTTCAGAAACATCAGAGCTTGAGCTCCGTTGTGTTTGGGGCGAGCGCTCATTCAAAACCAGGAAGTGTAGCAGAAAAACATTTTAATTCAAAGCAGCCAATCATAAGGACCAAATCAACCCCCTTTGAACTGATAGAGCAGAGAGATACGACAGAGTGGGACATCAATGACCATTGTTCTTATGTGCCATCTCAACTGCATACTTCTCGATTGATGCATGCTTCTTCAGCAGAGCTGAATTCTTCACTGCCACATGACCGCAAGCATCAGACACTCAATGCCTCGGATGCAAAGCAGACTGGCTATTGTGGTTTCCGTGTACATTCATACACGTCTTTAGTGGAAGACCCCTATTTCCCACCATTATCTCCTGGGAGTGCCGATTCGAAGATGTCTCTTGATGTACCCGAAAAGGAGGATGGAACAGTTTTTCCTAGTTCCTTGTTGCCAACATCCCCTACAACCTTCTCTGATTACAATTCAAACGATTCGTTAGCACGGACTCTTCCAACTAACGTTCCCTCACCTTGGAACCAAGAGACAGGAGTGTCCGGTAAGTTATTGTTTAAAAGTCTGTACGCAACTATCAGGAGAGAGAGGAGGCTTTCTACTCCCGTAAAGAGTTACCGTCTTGGAAATCGCAGGGGGCGGTTCTACTGTGTCCTATAGGGTCACTATGAGTCTAGATCGCAGCGAGTTTGTTTCTTATAGCCACTTTACACTTGGTTCTCTAGAGAAGATTTCATTTCTCCTCTCCATCCCCTTTGTCTTGCTTTCCCTCCACTTTCTTCCCAGGCCTCTGAAAATGAGTGCATTTCAGACAAGCTTTAATGATGCGACTAAGCCGAGGACCGCAAAACCACTGCCACTGAGTGGCTTCCAGTTCAGGGCGACCCTCTAGGTTTCCCAGGCTGTCGTTCTTTATGGGAGCGGGAGGATTCATCTTTCCTCCTGAGAGGCCTCTGGGATTAAACCCTGCACACCAGGCGTCCTCAAACGACGGCCACATGCGGCCGCCGAGGACATTTATCCGGCCCGCTGGGTGTTTGGGCCCCGTTCGTTTTTTTACTTCAAAATAAGGTATGTGCGGTGTGCGTAGGAATTTGTTCATAGTCTTTTTTTTAAAACTATAGTCCGGCCCTCCAACGGGTCTGAGGGACAGTGAACTGGCCCCTGCTTAAAAAGTTTGCGGACCCCTGGCTGCACACCGTGCAGTTAGCAGGCCGATGCTTCCCCAAGAGGGCCCAAACAGGCAGCAGTAAGCAGTCAAATGTGGTATGGCACTGTAAATGTCCTTCCCCGGCCTCTGGTACGCGCTTCCAAAAGGATCAGAGTTGACCAACAGCACCACATGGGCCACCCATCCATTGTACTTTTTAAAGTACTTTTTTGTTATTGCTAGAATTAATTGAACAGATTGCTAAGAATTGAATTCCCCCACAGGAATTAGAGGATCTAATTTTTTATTGCCTCTTAGAGTGACTTAAATAATGAGTGTTCAGGAGTCTGTGTGGAATTTTTATCTTATATATACCTTGATACAGATTTAACCTCTTTGGTAATGACATACTTTTGTATATTATGCACATTATTCTTGGAAGAAGTACGGCCAGCGTGCTCATTAGGGCAAGAATGGCAAGGTTTCATCTTACATATTTCGAGCACCTTGTCAGGAGAGACCAGTCCCCGGAGGACAACATGCTTGGCAAAGTAGAGGGGCGGTGGCGAAGAGGAAGACCCCAGCGTGATGGAGGGATTCAGGGCTGCAGCAATGGGTTCAGGAAGAAGGAACCATTGTGAGGCTGGCGGAGGACAGGCAGCGTTGGGCTCTGTTGTGTATTGGGCTGATAGGAATTGGAACGGATGCAGTGGTGCCTAAAAACAACAATAACATACACGCTGTTGTGTTTTGTTGTGCCGTTGGGAAACAGAGTGACTTTTCTGTGGGAGATGATTATAATCATTTCACATAGACGGAGGTAAGGGAAAGAAAAGAGCACGTTTAAAACTCTGAGCTATTTCGTTAGGTGATTCTGGAAGACGATTCTGCTTGGATGGAAAGTAGAGAACGCTTTCGCAGTCTAGCATCAATTATTGTGCTGTGTTTCTCTGTAGGTAGAGGTGCCGTTCTTTCGACGCTTTGGCGCAAACATATTTTATCCAGAACTAGGAAGTTCGTTCACTGATTATATTATTTTATAGAGCTTGGTCTCACTTTTGAATTGAAGGTATTTTTTTTCTAGGTACCCATAAGACTTCTTTCAGAAACAACACAATTACAAAACAAATCCTTAGCTTCGAGGATTCAAACAACACTGACATGTGTGCCATCTGGTGGCAGTTTCTTATAATAGCATCTAGAAAATCTGTATAAAAATTCTGAACCTTTCCATAGAAATAATAGAAGACCCTACATCTGTTGCTTTGGAATAAAGAAAAAGCATGCATAATTTCGGTTTCTGTACAGCATGAAGGACAGGTGCGAAAATGCTTATACTTGTATTCACTGCAACTTTGCTATATGAGGATGTTTCCTAACAGACCCAGTGTCTCGATGAAAATGCTTTCCGGCTCTTCACAGAAAGGATAATGTGGAGAATAAGCAAAAGCCTCCTGAGGTTGCTACTTAGGAGGAGAGAACTCGGTTTTGCTTTGCTTTGTTTCCCTTGAATGAACAGGTAGCAGCTTGCACACGAGTAGTGCTTTACGGAATTTAATCAAGATTAGAATATACGGATTTTCCTTGGCTGCTCTGGTAACCAGTTGTGATTATGTCTCTGACGTTTTGGATAGCAATGTCTCCAAAGATAGATGATGAAATCCCCCCTCCACTGCCCGAGCGGACGCCGGAATCTTTCATCGTGGTGGACGAGGCTGGTGAGTACAGTTTCCCTGGGAGTGGATGGACCAGAGCCTTGCAGCCTCCTGTGTGCTATGCTGAGTTGCGCTCACTTTCTAAAACGGCCATGACTCCAGGAACTGGACCTTATTTACTCTTCTTTCTCCCCAGGAGAATTGCCACTGAGTACTCCTAACCCCTTAGCTTCAGTTTTAAAAATGGAACCGTCACCGGAATGGAGTGGAACATCCGAGTCACAGGAATGTGATGACGCTGTGAGACTTAGACCAAGCCAGGTCAGTCACTGTTTTTATTTGGATTCAACTGACTCTTGTTTGTTTTAACACCTATCACTCAATAAATATCAAGTCGATATTACTACTTCCAGGACTCCATGCTAGAGGGAGTGGGAAAGTCAACGATGTAGAAGATGTAATTCATGCCCTTTAGGAACATATAGTCAAGTAATAGCGATACAGGACATGTACAGGAGTCTTTATTTTTGTCCATATTTATTATAACAAGGCAACTATGGCCAGGGCAACGTGAAACAGAGAGATCTGGATTGTTGGAGACATCTTCAGGTCCGAAGGGATCAGAGAAGGCTTAGTGACAGAAGACACTTGAATAATAGCATCTGCAAGGATGGTTAAGGCAAAACTAAGAAATGATTAATGAGTGAGCAGATAGCTTATTTATATTAGTCATTTGGTAGACTGTATCACACTAACTGCAATAAGGTGCTCCTTCTATAATTGTTAAAGCAGCCCTGGTGGCATAGTGGTTCCAAGTTGGGCTGCTATCCATAAAGTCAGCAGTTTGAAACCAGCAGCTGCTCCTCGGGAGAAAGATGAGGCTTTCTACGCACACAGAGCTACGGTCTAGGGGCAGTTCTCCCCCGTCCATTGGAGTCGCTATGAGTCGGAAGTGTATCGTTGCAGAGCCCTGGTGGGATGATGGGTTTAGGCTAGCACTTGGAAATCATCAACTGCTCTTTGGGAGATAGATGCGTCAGGCTTTCTACTCCTACAAAGAGTTACAGTCTCTGAAATCCACAGGGGACAATTCTACTCTGTCCTATAGGGTTGCTCTGTCAGCATCGACTTGATAGCAGTGAGTTGGGGGTTTTATAATTGTGGATTTTTGCATATTACTTGCATTGTTTTGTGTGGGCGGTAATTTCGTTAAAGTAAGAGATGTACATATTGTCTAAAATCCACCCACAAGAGGGTGAAGAGAAACCAGGGAGCAGGCGAGGGGTAAACAACTGGGGGTCTGATGGGTGGTTTAAACGGTTGAGTACGAAGTTGATGATCTAGAATGTAACCCCCCACCTAATTTGCAACAACCCCAAATTAACCTTTTGTAATAATGTTCCCTGTTTCTGGAAGAAAAGCGATCTCGACTTTGAAGGGAAAGTTGAAGCTTTCTACTCCTGTAGAGGGTCGCGGTCTCAGACCCTCAGGAGCAGGAGAACGTCACCCCTGCCCTGGAGGGCCGCTAGGGGTTGGAATCAACCCCACAGCAGTGGGGTTTTGTCTTTGTCTGGGATACTCATCTTGAAGTCTCAGGGGCCAGCAAAGTAACTAAATAAATATACTTTAAAGTGTCTACAATTATAAGGCGGGACAGACAAGTAGTCTTCTGCCTTTTAAAACGGCCACTTTAATGCACTACTAGTTGGTATTGGTTTGTTGATAATATGCACATGTATGTTGATCTATCTATATTTCCACATACAAAAAAGACAATCCTATTGCAATGCCATGAAGTAACTATTCGATTTCAATAATTAACTTTTAATTACATTTTCGGGGCAATATTCTAAGTAGAAAGGAAATAACTCAAAAGGGATCAATTTAGGACTAAGTGCCAGATTATAACAACGAGTTAAAGATGACTTTTCATCATTCGTAAGAATTAGAAAAAAATAGGATTTTATATCCATTTCTGTAGGCCTATGAAATGTAATTTCAAATATGCCATTACTTTGAGCTTCGATACATTTATGTATATATTCTTGTCTTACTTTTCTTCTTTTCTTTTTCAGAGTGTAAAACTCCATAGTGCCAACACAGGTAAATATATATATATATATATTTTTTTTTTTTCCCTTTGGCTTTAGGTGACACTGGGGGCACAGTTGCTACACATTGGGCTGCTACATGCAAGGTCAGCAGTTCAAAACCACCAGCCGCTGGGAAAGAGGAGCTTTCTGCTCCCATACAAACTCACACTGGTCTATGGGATAGCTGTGGGTTGGCATCAACTCAGTGGCAGTGAGTTTGGTTTGGGTTGGATGACATTTAGCTCTAAGAACCTATACTGTGAAACTGGCTTATTAAATTTAGAGTCATTTACCTCAAGAAATCTGAAGGTTTCCACAATAGCTTCCACTGTTGGTTGATTTATTGTTGGCTGTCCCCAGCTAGGAGTTTGATTTGTCAAGGACTAGGTAGAGACGGGATTTTAGAATTCCTCTCCTTGGTACAAATAATACTATTTGAAATAGGATCTCTTTAGATTTTTATTTTAAAAGTATTTTTTATCGCTGGGCTTGACTTTGAATGCAGTATAGACACTGCATTTAGTTTTATGTTTCTTAACGCCTTTGATATGTAACCAGTTTCATCGTTTTATAATTTCCATACCATCTATTTCTTCAAGAAAGTAGGTCACTTGCCCTCAGGTGGCTAGCATTCTGGATTTGATTGACTTTATCCTGATGATTTTACTTAACATGCTTCTCTACCTCCCCGAATATCCTGTACATAGAAATTTGATCTAGAAGCATGATTGAATTCAGGTTCAATTTTTTAAAAGAATACTTTTGTAATAAATGTTTGATAAATCAGGGGCTCATTGGCTAAAGAGCCTGAAGAACAAAGCTCCTGGTCACGACACATAATCAGGGATTACAGTACATTTGAGATAACATGAACTGCACCTGTGACTGTCTGGTTATTGTTTTATAGTACTCATGGTTAATAATATGTACTACATACAATGGTGCAAGGCATAGTTTGCCAATGTTATCATTCTCTGATGTTCTTTCCCAGATGTTCAAAGACAAATAAAGATCAGGGTTATAAAAATACTGATAATTAGAGGCAATACTAATGGGGACTAAAAAGGGTGGAGGGTTTGACATATCAGAACCAAGTTACCACAGAGTTGGGGGGTGCGGGGGGAGGCACTGTAAGTTGGAGATTAATTGTGGTCATTGTTCAGATAATATATTTGTTGATTACAGACTATTATTGAATAATTTGGAAAGTTCTCTAAAGCCATTATGAAGTTTGAATGATGGATTTTTGTTTTGTTTTGCTGTATCTACTCTTTTTACCACAGTTCTACCTCACGATCGCTCTTCCCCACCACCTCCACTTCCAGAGAGAACTCTCGAGTCCTTCGTTCTTGCTGATGAAGATTGTAAGTGGCAGTATTTCTGCTAAAAAAAGTAACAAAAATGAGAATGTTAAAGGTTAATAATAACGTAGGACCTCTATGGAAAAGATATAAAGAATTATTAAGTCCAATAAAAAGAAGACATTAGTCTATAAATCTTCACCTACTTCAGAGTAAAAAGATAAGACTACATCGAAAACCCATAATGGCTTTGGCTCCGCTCTCTTGCCTTGCAAGTGCTCAAAGAAGGGTGGCCCAGGAGTACCATCCCCTTACTATTTTAATGCCCTCCTAGTTTTCTTAAGCTATGTGCTAATCTGGTAGGCCTGGTTCTGCCACTATCAGTGAATCTTATTGAAAGTTTTACCTTATCTCCAATCCCCATTGTTCATATAAATAGTGTCCAGTCTCTTAGGTTTAATCTGTACAGGTCAATAATTCATGTATTGCAATAATCCATGTATTGTAGTAGCGAGTTTATACTTGCATGATCTCCTTTTCTCAATTGCGTTTTAAATTCTATATCACTGGCTGAATTAATGACACAATCTGTAGAATTACCTTATGCCCCATGGAGATGATTGATAATGTTCTCTAACATAACATGACACTGGTGTCTCTAAGGTGAACCAGAGACATACCAGGGGGTACCCAAAATACACTGGATTATTTTCAAACCTATGTATTTAAACTTTTTTACAAAACAAACTTAGCATCTTCAAAGTACTTTCCATTACATTTAATACATTTGTTAAATCTGCGATTCCATTCTCGGAAACATTTTCAAACTCATCTGTTTGCATGGGTGACAGCACCTCCCTCATTTTTTTTCTTCACTGCTTCTACATCGTCAAATTGCTGTCCTTTTCTGTCCCTCTTCAGTCATGGAAACAAAAAGAAGTCATACAGAGGGAGGTCAGGTGAGTAAGGTGTGTGGGGCAAGAGAGGCATGCTGGATTTCTTTTTTTTGGCCAAAAACTGACACACTGAGATAAATGCATGAGCAGGTACATTGTCATGGTGGCAAAACCAGCCCCCATTCTGTCACAAATCAGGCCTTTTTTGTTACACTCTGTTATTCAATCTTTTCAGAACCTCTGAATAGGTCAGATGAACAGTCTGACCTGGTGGAACAAGCTGTAAATACACTATCCCCCTCACATCAAAAGAAACAAGTGAACACTGTCTTGATCTATGATTTCACTTGACAAGCTTTGAAAGGGCAAGGTTACGATGACATCTTCCACTGGCTTGATTGATGTTTGCTTTTGCGGCTGTAAAAATAGCATTATGTCTTGTCACCAGTAATGATGTTGGAAAAAAGTCTGGGTTGCTGCAGAGCTGTTCTTTCAAAGCATGGTATGTTTATTCACAGCAGATATAAATAGTCTTGAGTTTTTCCCTTAGCAGTGTCCTTCTAAACTGTGTTCAACATCACAACAGTTTCTGAGCATTTTTCCCAAACAGGAAAGAAAATTTCACAGCCTCAGGGTGTTCTCTTAAATTGGTCATCTCAAAAAATGAGATTCAGGTGAAACTGCTTTTACAAAAACATTCGCTGATCAGAGAGAACATTCCCAGGCGACGCCACTGGGCGCACTAACTCAGAGTGCGTTGCAGAATACTTGCCTACTGGGGAAAATGTGTATTTTGAAAGCTTCACGCAACAGAGCTTTTCCCCAGTCTTTTTTTGGGGGGAGTACCCCCTTGTATATAAACCATAGATGCATGAATGGATTTTAGACTTGCATTTAATTTTCATCCCAATCTAAGAAAAATTAGTTTTTATGACATGGCCATGTTTGATACTCGCCCTCATGAAGAGATCACTGAGGATCTGAATGCTCTAGCAAAGTGTGGTGAAGAAACTAGATGGTGACTGGCTATCCGAAAGAATAGCCTCTGGGTTCATAAAGGCTTGTCCTCAAACGAGCAGCCATCTAAGAAAGGTGTCAACTAAGTCCATATGGCAGAAGCACACCAGCCTGTGTGATCCAAGGATTGTAAATAATGTAACCCAAATCCAAAGAAGGGAGTAGTATCAGAGCTTAAATTGTGAACTATGAAAGTTATGAATGACAGTGGCAGCCCAAAATCCCTTTGCAGGGGATATATATAAAGCCTCCAGTGGATCCCCTCTGATCATAGTTGAGTGATGTGAATAGCCTTGTTATCAGACAGAGAATATTATACAGACGATTATGGTAGATTGTGTAGCATTTTATTTGATCCCCCTTTTGACCCATTTAAAAGTTGTTTCAGTTTCAAAGGGGGAAAACAGTTGAGGGTAAATACGCTTGGATGCAGCCTCCGGTGAATACCCTCTGACCACCGTCCAGGGATGGGAATAGGCTTGATAGCATGCAGGGTGCATTGGAACGTTGATTATGGAAGATGTCATTAGTTTCCAATTTAACACCTTGTCATTTGTTATCTCTTTTAACCCATTTTAAAGTTGTTCTAGTTTTAAATACTTTCTGCTTTCTTTTTGATTGAGATTTTTCTCTCTTCTGTTTTGTTATCACTGTTAGCTTTTTTGTTTCTTTGTTTTTGTATGTTTTTTGATACATGAAATCCAGGATGGGTGAATCCATAGAGACAGAAATTGGATGAATGGTTTCTTGGCAGGAGAGGGTTGTGGAGAAAGAGGGAGTTAATAACAAGGAATACAAGAAAGAAGAAAATATGCTAAAATTGACTGTGGTAATGCTTGTACAACTTTTCTTGATATGATTTAACTACAGTAACCTATTTTTAAAATAATAATTAGTTCTTATGACATAAATAAAAATAAATGTCCCTCCTATAAAAAATAAATAAAAGCCCATATGTATAGTAAAAATAATGTCTAAGAAGGCCAAGCTAGGTTTACTGAATATATATCTATATATAATCTGAATGCTTAAGAAATCACACCCAAAAAAAGAAAAAAAAGAGAAATTACACAATGAAACATTTAAAATTTTATTTTTTTAACAAAATACTTCTTTTCTTTGTTGGCTTCCCTGGCTGATTTTTAGGTTTGCAGGCCCAGGCTGTAGAAACTTATTCTACTAGCTGTCATGACACCACGGAAAACTCAACATCTTCAAAAGAGATGCTGAAGACTCCTGGGAAAAACTTCACAAGGAGTAAGGTAAAGCAGAGCGGTGTTTTTGGCAGCATGTCAGAGTCCTTCCATTACTGAAGGTTTTCCTCCCCTCTCATCAGGATCACACAGTAGATTAACTATCTAAACAATAGACTGTGGGTCTCCTAATCAGTAAAGTTAATAGAATGAAACCTGAAAGAAGATAGAGAGCAGTTAGTTAAGAGTTTTTTCTTACTGAGATTAATTTATACACTGAGAAGAGGCTAAATAAATATACCGACTTTTCCCCTGGCAACTAGACAAACTAGTCCAAATTGGGGAGAAAAAAAGAGTAAGAATCATAATTTTTTAAAATGAGTAAGAATAGACAGAAAAAGAAAAACAACAAAAAGAGGATAGTCTTACCACATATTAAAGTATTGTAAAGTCTTCCTGACTGGCCCGTCAACATAAGCACTTACCAGTCGAACAGAAAGTACAGATGCAAATAGTTTCAGTTTAGTGTTTGATGAAGATGGCGTCCCAAAGCAGTGGGGAGAAATGGACTGGAAAACAACCCAGTGTGCTGGGGACACAACTAAAGTGGAATCCATATTCTCACACCTACACTAGGGCCAATTCTAGATGGATAAACTATGCAAATGTAAAATAAAATAGAAACGACCCACAAGAACGCAAAGCCTTAGAAGGCCCTAAGAGAAAAGGAGCAGGGAGATTCCTTTATAACCTAGGAGTGGGAGTGCTCGTTCTCATTGTGATTGAAAGTCTGGGGGAAAAGGGGACTTATGTGAATCTAGTTATATTACAAAACAGAAAATTCAGAATGGCAACAACAATAATAATAACCACCTTAAAAACAAGTAGAAAAATACTTACAACTGGCATCATAGCCAACCGGGGTTACTTCTCTAACATATAAAGAATTCCTAGAAATTCATATAAAATCATTGACCTAAAGGAAGTATTGATGCATTTGAATTATGGGGTTGGTAAAGAATATTGACAGTACCATGGGCTTCCAGAAGAACAAGCAAATCTGTCTCGGAAGAAATACAGCCAGCAGACTTCATGGAAGTGAGCATAGTAAAGCTATCTCATGCACTTTGGATCTGGTCGCAGAAGAGAACAGGCCTCGAACAAGGACCTTGTGCTTGGTAGAGTCGAGGGTCAGAGAAAACGAGGAGGCTCCTCGATGAAATGGACGGAATCTGTGGCTTCAACGATGGGCTCAAACATAACGACAATTGTGAGGACGGGGCGGAAGCTGCCAGTGTTTGGTTCTGTTATGCGCAGGGCGGTTGTGATGGCACTCAACCACCCCCACAGAGAAATGGGCAAAACACATGATTAGGTTAGTCAAAGGAAAGAAAAACACATAGTCTGTCTTTGAAGCATATGATCTGTTCGACTTCATTCATAATAAGGGAAATGCAAACTAGGACTACAGCACCATACTATTTTCTCTTGTCAGATTGGCAAGTTTCAAAAGTTTGACTGTATCTTCTGTTACGGAGGCTATGGGGAAACAAGCACATAGCTACATTGCGGATGGCCATGTCAAGTGATACCATTTCTACAGAGGAGGACAATCCAGCGCTATTTATCAGAACTATGGGAGAAAGATGCAGTTTTCTATTTACAAACACGGAAGCTCACCAGAGCAGTTCTATGGGGTGGGTGTCCTGATGAGTCCGAATCAACTCCAGGGCAGTGAGTTGATCATTTTTCCAACTACCAGAATTACAAATGCACCTATCTTTTGACTCCACAGTTTCTCCCCTAGGAATTTATCTTACAAACATGCTTGTACACACATGAAATCACATGTGTATGTCAGATTAGATACTGCAGCATTATTTGTAAGAGCAGATGACTGGAAAAAAGACAAATGCTAATCATTAGAGAAACCGAGTAAATAAATCATAAAGCAGGCAGTGGATAATAAATTCCATACAAAGGGATTACAAACCTAAGATAAATTCTCTTGATGTCTTTATACACAATTAATTAACTCTGACTTGAAAGGGGGACTATATCTATTTGTATTTACTTATACTTATAAATAACTGTGGAAGAATAAGAAGTTAACAAAGGGGTTAGCTATAGAGGTGACTTAGAAATTGATAGATGGGAAACAACGATGGACGGGTGACATTTAACCATATTCCCTTATGTGCTTTTGATTTTGAAAGATAATTAAATTACCTATCTAAAAACTATAAACATTTTAAAAAATAATTTATTAAATGTCTATTATATAGAAGAGTCCTTTTCTGTTAGATGTTAGAAGAAGAGAAATGTCATGGAAGACATCCGTTTGTCCTTTAAAAGACTACAGTTATCTGGTAGAACATAATATCTATATGGGAAGAATGAAACACTAATGAAACATATTAAAAACATACAAGATAAGGAAATGTTGAGTAATGAAGAAATGCTCGTGAGTTTCTGAAAGAGCTAACTTGAGAATCTACCCTAAACGAGGCAGAAGACATGAGTTTGCTGAGCGGGAGGAATGAAGAGTAACAGTATAGAATCTGGTCTTCGTAAAGGGAGTACAGAGGCTGGTTGGTAGAGATTTTGGGCTTCAGTGGGGATGGTTATATATCACAGCTGCCTTTACATGTTCTTGTGAGTTCTGAAATTGTCCTAATAAAGAAAGGGAAGTAAGGAATTCCTTTTTCCCACTACTATTCTGATAGCATTACTTCAAATGCAGAAATTTTGAGGCTGCGGAGAAATTCCAAAATCAAATCAAGTAGTGACTCTTCATTGAATTAAAAATGGAAGGATAGAAAAACCACTGGACCTTTTCATGGCTATTTTAGGAAGCAAATCTTTTTTATTGTGGTCTATGTTTCTATTGATGAAAGTGTTAGATTTCATATGACAAACTAACATTTTT